TCATTAAGAAGGTCATATCAAGAATGGTACATGATAGAATGGTGGAGGTGCTGCTAAGGATAATTTCACCAAATCAGTCAGGTTTTGTGAAGGGAAGGAGTATTGCAGAAAATGTGTTACTGGCTCAGGAAATCATTAGGGATATCCATATGAGGAATCATAATATTAACGTGGTGGTGAAGTTAGATATGACTAACGCCTATGATAGAGTGTCCTGGATTTTTTTAACCAAGGTATTAAGAGAATTTGGTTTCTCAGAAGTAATTATTGACATGGTATGGAGACTGATATCTAGTAATTAGTATTCAGTCCTCATTAATGGACAATCTAATGGGTTTTTTCAATCTTCTAGGGGTCTCAAACAAGGAGACCCACTGTCCCCAACATTATTTATTATTGCGGCTGAAGTTCTAGCCAGAGGTTTAAATAGTTTGCACAAGGAAGAAGGTTATAAGGGGTATGGTATGCCAAAGTGGAGTCCAAAGATAAATCATTTATCCTATGCCGATGACACTATCCTATTCTGTTCGGGAGATAGACCTTCAGTGATAAAGATGATGACAATACTGAGAGATTATGAAAATATTTCGGGCCAAAGAATTAATAAGTCAAAGAGTTCCTTTTATTTTCATGAAGACTCATCTGATAGTAGCAATCAGATTAAGACGAATTACTGGTATAAAACAAGGAAACTTTCCTTTCATGTACCTCGGGTGTCCACTCTTTTATGGCAGAAAGATTAAAAGTCATTTTGAAGATTTGATTAGAAAGGTGGCTAGAAGAATTTTCTCATGGCAGAATAGATTTTTATCATTCGGGGGGAAGTACATTCTAATTAATCATGTTCTTCAATCGTTACCAATTTATCTTTTATCTGCGATGAATCCCTCCAAAACAATTATTGCACAATTGCATCAAATATTTGCAAAAAAAATTTGGGGAAGCACAAGAAGTCTCAAAGGGAAGCATTGGATAGCATGAGAGGATATGTGTTTTCCCAAGGATGAAGGAGGATTGGGTTTTCGATCATTGCATGATGTTAACCTTGCTTTGTTTGCCAAACTGTGGTGGAAGTTTAGGACATCTACTTCATCCTTATGGTGTAGTTACATAGGAAATAAATATTGTAAAAGGCTATATCATGTTGTAGTGAGGAGTACTGGAGCATCCCATGTATGGAGAAAAATGTTATCCATAAGAGAGGAAGTGGAGCATGAGATTTGGTGGCAATTGAAAGCGGGAAATTCCAGTTTCTGGTTTGATAACTGGACAAAACAAAGGGCATTATATTTTACAGAAGAGGAAAATGCAGAAGAAGATGAAATAGAAGTGAAGGAATTCATTGACAATGGTAATTGGAAGGTAGAGAAATTACAGGAGCTGGTTTCGGAGGGAATGTCTGATCACATTGTAGAGAACATTAAGCCGATCACTAGTGAACTAAATGATAAGGTCTGGTGGATGGGGAGTACAACAGGAGAATTCACCGTGAAATCAGCATATCATATGTTAAGGAAGAAGAGGGAACTCATAGAATGGATGAAACATATATGGATAAAAGGTCTGCCATTTAAGATCTTTTTTTCTTATGGAGGGTATGGAAGAAACGAATTGCTACGGATGACAATTTAAAGAAGATGAGAATGCAAATTGTATCTAAATGTTACTGCTGTGAGAAATGGGAAATGGAAACCATGACACACTTATTACTAACAGCTCCCATAGCTCAAAGGTTATGGAAGCAGTTTGCTTCCTGTGCAGGTTTTAGCATTGATGGATTACACTTACATCAACTAATTTTTAGATGGTGGGAGTATGAAGGAAGTCCAAAATTGCAGCAGATCATGTAGGCCATACCAGCCATAGTCATATGAGAACTTTGGAAAAGAAGGAATGTTAAAAGACATGGTAAAGAGGTCTCTTTCAATAAAATGTACTTTCATTGTCAAAGGACAGTACATCAATTGATAATAGTCAAATTCCCTTGGATTAGAGATATTCCTTATCATTGGGAAGGGATGTTTGATTCATTACAAGGATACAAACCTAAACTGTATTATCAGTTAGTACAGTGGTCAAAGCCGGAGGAAGGATGGATAAAGTGTAATACGGATGGTGCAAGCAAAGGTAATCCGGGAGTGACTTCTTATAGCTTCTATATTAGAAATGAAAATGGAGATTTATTGTATGCAGAAACAAATAAGATAGGAATAACTACAAACATGGTAGCAGAATTAACAGGAATATGACAGGCATTGAGATACTGCAAAGCACAAGGTTATGATCATATCAAGTTAGAGACTGGTTCTCTAAGTCTAAAAAGCATGATTCGGAAGGAGTGAAGAATACCTTGGGAGTTAAATGAGAGAATAGAGGAGATTCATGAACTAATGAATACATTACACATTCATATAAAGCACATCTTCAGGGAAGCAAATCAATTAGCTGATCTCATCGCAAATACAGCTATAGATCAAGAGGAAAAACAACAGTTTCTGAATTTCAACCAGTTACCAAGCAGGGCAAAAAAGATTTTGAACATGGATAAACAACAAATAGCAACAATCAGGATAAGAACAAGGAGGATCACACGCAGTCCATAACATGGAAAACAGAGGTGAGACCACAGAGTCACACAACTACAAGTTTTATATCAAAGTTTGTAGTCAGTTAAAGGACAAGATAGTCAGTTGCGCAAAAACAAACTAGTCTAAGCTATATCAGTCAACAAAAAGTGAAACAAATACCAGCGAAAAGTGAGAATCGCAGAACCAGAGATGCATTGAAGTCCTTATGTCCAACTAGGAAATCAGTAGGAAGTAATTTGGGAGCAATTTCCGTCCTACTTCACATCAAATGGGGAATATTAAAGAAGAATTCAGCTGGAACAAAAGAAAAAGGGAAAGAGAAATACTTACAGATCTACAAATTTGGAGCACTAGGTTTAGACTCTCTTACGAGATTCCCCACCGGAAGGTACACCTACAAAGAAGAGGACATTTTCAGATGCAAGGAAGAAAGAAGATGAAAAAGAAATGACTGGAAATGTACAATTGTTTATTTGTTTTTTTTTATGTTTGTTTTCTCTGTTTCATGGTCTCATTTTGAGTCCATCTGACGTTCTTTTTCAATAAAATGGGACCAATGGTCCAAGCTTATTTTTTTAAAAAAATAATAATAAAAATAAAAAGGAAAAACAAATTAAACTTCTCACCCCTCCTTCCATCATCGTCACCGTCCTCAAGCCCTCCTTCCGTCATCATCGTCGTCCCCAACTCCTCCTTCCGTCATCATCGTCCCCAACCCCTCATTTTGTCATCGTCGTCCCCAACCCCTCTTTCCGTCATCGTCCCCAACCCCTCCTTCCGTCATCGTCCCCAAAACTCTAGCCGTTGTTACTTTCTTAAGCTCTAGTACGTCCCGAATCCATGGCGAAGGTTGAAGTTGATGTTGCGATTGATAGCCAAGGAAGAGAATGATTAAGAAGTTCAGCTATAGAGGAGTAGATCTGGATTCGCTTCTTTACATGTCTACTGATGAACTTATCTTTATGTTTTCTAATAATACTAGTACTTTGTTTTACTACAATTTTTCTGGGAAAGTGGATATTAAATTTATATTGATTTGAGATTAGTAATTTGTTGATGCCAATTGCCAACTATCTTATTAGATTTTGATTACCCTATTGCATAGGTTAGACAGAATAAGAAGATGCTAAGTATCACCAATTTGGCTGCTCTTTTCTTTCTTGTTCTTGCTTTGTTCTTGTTCTATAGATACCCATCTTTTTCTTCTATAGCTGAAGGATCTCCAAAATCCATTTATGGTGGTTGTGGAGGTGAAGAGAAGTTGAGAAATATATTTATTTTATTTTTTAAATAGAAAATTTATTATTTAACATTTTGGTTGATAATATATGATGTGGCATTATGACGTGGCGTTAATATATCTGATGGGATATGACATGTCATTTTGTAAGGGAGAGTGAGTTACACACATGAGTGGAGGGGTTTGAAAGTCTTATTTTATTTGAATTTAAGAGTTCAGTTGACAAAGGATTAAGTAAGAGGGTCTAGAAAATAAACTCATATAAGTATAAGGGTTCATCAGACTATTTCGCTCTTCTTTTAACTTCTCCGCCTTCTATCACCCAACATCACCACACAACTTTTCGAAAAAAATTTGCAAAACTTTGTTGGGTTATATTAGAATCCAATTTTTTCAACAAAAGAGTCAATTTCTTTAGCAATCTCACCAGAAAAAATGAAGATCATCATCATTTTCTAAGAATTTGTGACTCTTTTTCTTTTTAAAATCAAATCACTTAAAGTTTAAGCTCTGCTACATTAATGTTATCTGCTACTACAACTAAAAAACTCCCGCCCCCAATAATAATGAGAAGTTCTCTTGATTTTTAGTTTTCTTACTGAAAATTATCCTAATTTTTCTGTGTCTGTAACAATGAAAATTGGAGGAACAAACTATTACACTGTCTGCATCTTCACCATTTAAATAACTAAATCCCCAACATTTTCCCATAGCATTCATAACTAAATCCCATAACATTCATTTATTTATCCACGTAGGATACACACACTTAAGCTAGTTCTAAGAATATAAAAAAAAGTGTTAAAATGACATATCAAAACTCTACATGAAGTGTCTAAAATGAATATCGTCTAATTGAAGTATCTAACTGAAAATTATTGTTAATTTTAGAAGGCCACCGATGGATTTGGCCTAATATATAACTATAGTTCAAGTAATAACGTAGCACTAAACATATTTGACTGTAATAAATATGCATAATCAATTATTCAAAATTTTAGTTGTAAAATAATCGTTCGATCACACGTGTTAACCACTGGTTACCGTTGACGCTTTCATGCAGCATGCAGAAAGCCACGTAACCCCCCACCCCCACCCCCACACCCCATGCTAACTCCTAATTTCCTCTATGAATAGAGATTTGAATTCGTTCGTTTTCTCATTCAAACAATAATGGTGAAATTAGCATCGGCGCGGGAGATGCGATTGTACGGGCCGAGGCTGACCCGAAACCGATTCGAGTACATCAACGCGGGTCTATACTTGTTCGCTACCATATTGCTGGTGGGTGGGTTCGCTGCTCAGTTCTCGAACGAGCAATTATCCGGTTTGGTTCTGTTGTTGATAGCGTTGGCAGTGATTGTTGTAGTGAATGTGCATGATCTTCTAGCTCACCTCGCTGGAATCGACTATAGATTTCTATTGCTCGGATTTGATCCGCAGCTTGCCCTCGTCGAATTCGCTGTGCCGGTAGTTCAGTCCGTAGGAACAATTCTCAACTTCTTAGCCATTCTTTTTCTCTTCACTCAGGTAATTCTTAACTACCTTTGTTTTAATATATTTGTCTTAGTTTGTTAAAAAAAAATGTGTCACAATACTTATGATTACGAGATTAAATGACCTTTTGTTACATTCATCACAAAATTCTAAAGTTTTTAATTTTTTAAAAAACTCGACGGACTTTATGTCTAAGTTAAAATCAGACAAACAAATTGGAACTCAGGTGCCTTATTCATTTGCTTTATAGTTCTTATGTTTTATCGTTAAAAACATCACACTGAATTCTAAGCAATCATTTTGTAAGAGGGTGTTTGATTGGAAAAAGGAATACATTTTTTTTTTTTAATCTATTATACCTTGAGAGAAGGAGATTATAAGACGGAGAATCGAACCCTCACTTATTAAGGGGTGTCAAAATATAAAGTAAAAAAGCAAATCCTATCAAGGATAGAACACACAATCTCAAACAATGTAATTTTGACCTATATATACAATGTAATTTTCCGACGCCTTGCTCTAGGGTAGCTCCGCCCCTGGATCCTCCGGTATGGGTAGGGCAAACGTAAAAAAAATGTCTAATGTACGAAAATTTCATTTACTACATTCTTTTGAAACGGACTAAAAGGAACATAATAGCCTTGTAACTGCCACAATGCCAAACTTGAACCCATTGACAAGATCACTATACCACTGGCACAAATTCAGCCTATGCCACTATAAGGAGGTGTCTGGTTTTTCTTTAACAGATAAAGAAGCCAAGAATGTGAAACAGGGATTAGTAATTTTGCTTTGCTGGCTAAATATAACATTGAATATTGGCTATGTAGTTTCAGTATAATGTTGTTGAGTTCTTCATCTGATCATGTATTTAATTCGTTTGTGAAGGCAGAAAAAGGGTATGGCAATTACAAAATGGAGAAGCAAGCTGTGAGTCTGCTTATTGCTGGCCCTGCTCTATGGCTGCTTGGTTCAATCCATAACTCGTGTCAGATTTACGAAAGAGCGGATGGGCATGTCCAAATCTTGCAACAAAGTGTCAACATCCCCTTCTTGTTGGGCAGTTTACTGTTTCTGGTAGGATCACTCCTCAATTGGAGAGAGCAGTCAGGATATGTCCACCATGGCTTGAAATTGTTAGTAAGTAACCAACATTTTTTTACAATTATCAATACCGGAAAAATCTGTTTATGGACTTACCATCTAACTCTTTAATACCACCTATAATGATCATAAAACGTATATATCAACCCACATTTAAAGGGGAAAAAAAGGTGGCTTTCCATAAATACTCGCAAGGTAGGGTTGATGCCCGCGTCTCCTGTAACCATGCTTGCAAGTTCCGCCGCAGAAACTAAACTCTCATTCTTACTCAGTTGCTCTTGAAAAAAAACAACTATTTCTCTTTAGTTAGTTTCCCGGACCTTAAGACCCTCGTCTGGGAAGCATGATCAAGTAGTCTAAGAATAAGAAAGGCCTTTAATTACTAAACTATAGGATGTGCATACTCAGAAAGGCATGACCCTGTCAACCAAGTATCAAAGAGAAAGAGAAGAGGAGAGAAGGAAAAGTTATATTTTTGGCAACATTCTAGGAGTAGTCTTAAACGTTGGATGTTGTGAATAGATTCTATAGTAGTAGTCCTATCAGTAAGATGAAGTGAATACTGAATAAGTTGATACAGAGGTTCCGTATAGCCAATCCAACTTTTGGATCTGAGACATTCTATTTGGTTGGTATACTTTTAACTCTGTCTATATCTTTATACTTCTTGTAGGCTTATGACATAGAAAACACTATTAATATACTAACGAGCAGTACAATCTCTTGCACACCTTTTGTGCAGCTCGATCAACTAACTGTTGAGGGACTTGTGAAATGATGCAGAGTGAAGACTGGATGTTGTTCGGGTTATTTGGGAGTTTATTGCTGTTCATTGGAGGATTAATGAATGTGGTAAAAGTGTTCAAGATGCAACAAATGAGTGGATTGAGGCTAGAAAAGCTACGAGGTGGAGCACAAGACCGATTGATACAAGAAAGGGAGGGGCAAATGCCACTGCTAATAGAAGAGCAAAGACGAAGGAGACGGTCATCGGTGGAGGAGGGACAAATGCCACTGCTAGTAGAAGAGCAAAGGCGAAGGAAAAAGTCGCCAGTGGAAGAAACAACATCCTCTACCATTGCCCCAACTCCTTACAAGGATGTTCTTGTTGGTCAGGCTTGAGAGTTAATGACTCTATATGCAGCGATTGGACAGTCGTGCGCCATGAGGCTATACAGAGGATTTGCAATTTAGCTCATTCTTGCTGCCTTATTATATGGTGCTGATTTACGTGCTTATTGACAAAAACTGTTGAGGGGTGGTTTGGCATACAATCACACGATTGTTTAATATACTTGAATTTGATGTTGTTGAATAATGTGGATCATGATCACGTACATATTTGATTCAAAGTTTAGTATGGGTCATAGGGACACTGGCCAGATGTTACATTTGTTATGTAATCTCGAATTTTAGTTTTTCCTAATGCAGAGCAAGGGGTGATTTACTGTTGAAAGACTTGATACAGTGTAGAACATAACTCTTTATCCAATATATGATATATGTTAAACACCCTCACGTAAATTGAAGCGGAATTACTTTCTTAAATTATCAAATTCGAATCTAAAGCAGAACCAAATGAATCTCCAGATACTCGAGAACAAATCAGTTAATTTGTTCAGATGAGATAGCATTGAAAGGAGCAGAATTAGTAAATCCTAGAGTATGGTGTTAAGTAGGATATCCTTATTCCCAGTATAATAAATAGATATACAATTCCCAAGTTTACATGCAAAATTTTGCCCAATAGAGGGTATATAAAATTAAAAAACGGTTGACAAAGAAAACGGAAAAAAGAAATTTTGGAAGTCCTACTAAGGCGTACAACACTACTGAAGCTACACCTGTTTTGGAAGTCCTAAAAATATGTTACAACACAAGGGGAAAGAAACAAAAAATAGTGAAGACCTGTAAGTGAAATAATCAAAACTAGTGCTCCGTATACACTGTACATAATAGCCCCCTACACCAGTTGAGATGATCACCCATGGAAGAGAACCATATATCTAAACCAATGCGAGAGTTTCTTCGTCCTGAGGCTGCTGCTGCTGTTGTTCAGAGAGCCGGTCTTCAGAGAAAGGGAGAAGAATCCGCCTTATATCTTCTGAAGTCAATGTTTCGCACTCTAGAAGGGCAGTTGCCAGAGTGTGTAGAGCCTTTTCATGCTGCATTGAAAAAGAAAATCACAGATAAGCTTATGCTAACCGAACCTAACAGGTTTCTGCCAGTTAGTATAGCTCTATGATCATTAAGATATGTAAGACAAACCTTCTTTAGGAGGGCCTTCACGCGATCATATGCTTCTCTTAGAAGTTTGACCACCTGTGCATCAGAAGAACAAACTTATAAGACCTTATCAACCCAAATAAAAAACATACTAGAATACTGTGACTTAGAAATTCTTCATCAGGTCAGTTGTTACAAAAAAAAGTTTTTAAACTCGAGCTAAGCACATACCTCAGCATCCATACGTGATTGCATTTCAGCACTTGGCCGCTCTTTGATGTGAACAGGTCCAATTGCATCACTCATCCCACAGGACGATACCTACAGAAAAATGTGGTACTGTCACACACTTGTAACAGAAAGCTTCATTCTGACAAATTTACTAACATCATTCACAGCTGAATATATACATTAGCCAAACAAAGAAAACGAAGAACCGACTCTTTTTTACTCTTCCTATAAAGCAGGTCCGGAGAGGAACCCTCTCAAGGCAGCTTTTGCCTGTGGAAAAGCTACGTCTCATGTGGGGTAAAACCTTAGTAGCTTCTAACTTATGTCTAGTGCAAAATACTCCCACACCATAGACATCTGGAGGGTATGGTTGCTTTCTTTTTTCTCTTTCCACCACGTTGGGTTATGCCTAGGTTACAGAGATGTTAATTTTACTTATATTAACAAATAGTAGTAGATTGAGGAAAAGGAACTAAAGGTGATACAATTTTCTCTGAGAAAAACTGAACGACAGTCCAAGGAAAGCAAAAATGACTTCGAACATTGAAGTTTCAGATCGGCAAGACTCAATTTTCTGAGCCCAGCATAGCACCTTCAATCGACAGATTTAGTTTATCTTTCTGATCATTTGAGTTTCACATGGGACAATTTTTTCTTCATAACATCATCAGTTAGGTAAGTTCCTTAAGAAACCTGCAATCCAAAGGTCTTGATGTTCACATAAATATTATTTTTATTTATGCAGTTAGCTGGCGAGAAATCAAAATGGGATAAGCACTACCCCGTATAATGTTGTCGAAAAATAAGACATTCTGCGTTAACAAATTCTGGCATATAAATGCAGCTAAAACCCAAATCAGCAACTTAAAAGAAGGCTTAAGTCATCCACAGCCCCTTAAAGTTGTCCGTATATTTCATTTGAACACCTCAACCACAACATGTACCTATTGAACACTTCTACCGAGTCGAATTAGAACCATTTTAGAATTTTTTTGACAATCAGTTGAAAATATAAAATGAGTGTAGTACCCTCGCACTGACACGGCAAATTGTCAAATAAACGATATATATGTGGCATTTTGAGTCAAAATAACAATTACTCCACCATTATGACAAAAACAAAGGAAAAACTCTTCAACTTTTTTTTCAAAATGCTGCTGTACATCCACCATTATCGTCGCCAACATCACCCATCGTTTTCTCTTAATTCAATTATGGAAAAAGTCGAAGGAAAGTCAACAATTAATGGTGGAATTGAGCTATTTTAGTGACGAAATTTTCTAACTCTGAAAAAGGAAATCCAGCAATTAACCTTTTCTTCATTTGTATGAATCAACAATGGTAAATCATTAGATTAAAAAAAAAAAAAATTTAAAAAGAAGAAGAAAGAAGACGTCTAATGCTGCTCATCGAACCACCTTTTTTTTTTCTTGTTCTTTACCATATATCAATAATGGTAGATTTAGATTTTTTTTTAAAATAAAACATCTAATAGTAAAATAATGTTCTAAGATCCGGAGGGAAAAAAGAACAAAGTGAAACATTAATGGTAGAGGTGGTGGAGTTGTTTAAATTGCAATTTGTAACTTTGCTTACTTTCATAAATCGACAAAGATTCAGTTCTAGATCTGAAGGAAAAAAAAGGTACAAGCGATTCTAGATATTAAGAAATAAAATGACTATGTGGCAGCATTGATGGTAGAGATGTTGGTGGTTGCTCAAAAGATGAGGAAGAAAGGGATGTGATGGCAGCGATAATGACAATTTTTTTTAAAAAATGATGATAAAGGTAAAGGAATTGGAGTGACTAGAAAAATACGGAAGAAGAAGAAGAAGTATGATTGCAATGGCGACGGCGATTGCCTGCGGTTGCCGGAGAAATTAGTGATGGCAAATAAGCACAAAGAAGAAGAAAATGACTGTTTTTTTTTATTTAAAAAATATCTAACTAAATGCTTTCACGCACTCATCAGCCGTGAATCACATTCAAAATGCCATGTAGGCAAAAAGTGCTCAAGTGGTATAAATTTGAGGTCCTAGAAATGTTCAATAGGTACAAAACTTAGTTGAGGTATCTAAGTGAATTATGCGGACAACTTTAAGGGGCCACGTATGACTTAAGCCTTAAAAGAAATCATGCAGCCAGTAAGATCATCAGATTTAATCTGCATGCATACATTGAAATATGTAGGCATGTAATTGCTGATAAGCAAAAACGAAACTGGGAAACAACTTTTTCTCATAGCTAATATTTGTAATACACGATGATCCATGTACTTCTAAACTGTTCAAGGCGTCTTTAAAAAAATCCTTGTTTAGTGAACCAGAGAAACAAAAAGGGAAGAGGAAAGAAGTATTTTTACTACATAAATTGACAATTTTACTCACTATAATAGACATTAATATGTAGCGAAATCGTACCATGTATTGAGCAAGCTCTGTAGCTGTGTGTAGGTCACTACTAGCCCCAGTAGTTACATTGTCTGGACCGAAGACCAGCTCCTCGGCTACTCTTCCTCCCATACAAACATCAAGCCGTGCTAACAACTGCTTTTTGCTGATTGATGTCTCATCATTTGAAGGAAGCTGTGTAACCATTCCCAAAGCAGACCCACGTGGCATGATTGTAGCTTTATGTATTGGATGTGCGCCTTCAGTATTCAAGGCAACAATTGCATGGCCACTCTCGTGATATGCAGTTAGCTGAAAAAGACGATATTTACCATAATGGTGATTACTATGTCTGGGATATTGTAACATGTCCACTACAGAACAAGGACAGGAAAACAAGGTGTTTATCCGTTAAGCAAGCATCCAAAGAGTCCTTTAATTTTACTATACAAGAGGTTGACCAAGATTCTGCACAGCATTCAGAAAATACAAACTTGATGTTTTGAGGCCCAATAAGTTTTTATATTCTAAAGAATTTTGTCTGTTCATAAGCATGTAAAATCAAATAACTATATAGATTACCGAAATTCGATGCCTGATGACAAATCAAATCAAACTTACTAGTGAGTTACCGGATACAAACATGAACATATTTTTCATAATAGAGCAGAATACCTTTTTTGAGTCTTCTGAAAGGAACATGGTTTTGCGTTCTGTTCCCATTATTATTCTATCTTTTGCAAACTCCAACTGTGATGCATTTAGCTTCTCAGCACCTTCAACAGCAGCCTTAATGGCAGCAATATTCACCAGATTTGCCAAATCTGTTTCAAACAGAAACTGTTAGTAATATACCCATATTGAGAAAAGAACCAGGTTACGATCACTCGAATTAACAGTTCCTAGAAAAGGTGGTAGAATGTAATTTTAGTATTTAAATGTCGTGTTACAAGAGTGATGTCATTAGTAAAATATAGTCCCACATGAAACAAATATCATGTGTTTTGAATTTGACACCTATAATATGTGTTTCTTGTATGCCACTATCATCAGGTGTTCATTATTTTTCTCTTTTAGTTTATACATGATATCAGAACCAAACTTTGGTAAGCTCACTCACAATTGTTTTTTCTTTAACATTTCTATCACTCTAAGGTTCTTTCTCTAAAAACAGCATTGAGCTTATCGAATCTACTTTGGTCTCAACTCCACCTGTTACTCAGCTTAGTAAATCTACTCTCTCTCTCTGTTCTATCATCTACTATCGAATCTACTTTTTCTCTCAACTCCAGGCCTACTCCTCAGCTTGGTAAGTCTACTCTCTCTCTTTTCTTTTGTCTACTTCAGCCACATCCTTGTGGTGACACTTCGTCTTCTCCCCCAATAAAAATGCACAAAGTCAGGTAAATAATAAAAGAAAATGAAGGCAAAATAATCTTTAATCCAGGAGCAATTTCAAGAATTGATATAACACATGATAGAGGCTGTTGAAATATTTATCAGTCCTACATTGGTTGAGAAAAGGTTTCCAAAGGATTTCTAATGATTCTTGTCTACTCCACCCATTGGGTTAAGATTTTGGTGTGAATTTTCATACTCTTTCATGTGGCATCACAGCCAAACTTTGGTGAGCCTGTTTCCGTAATTGCTTCTCTAGCTATTATTTTCTCAACCAGGCTTCTCCCTCTCAATCCAGCCATCAACCACTAATTTTGCTAGAGACTCACTCCTCACTCCCCTGAGCCGCTCTCTATCTCTATTTACTCCAAATCTCTCTCTCTCTCTCTCTCTCTCTCTCTCTCTCTCTCTCTCTCTCCACACTAGGACAACTCTTCAATTCATTGAGTATACTCTATGCCTACCAGCTTGTTGAGCCTATCTCTACTTCCACATTCAATTTTTGATCTTTCCCCACAAAAGAAGTCTCAATTTCCAAAGGCCAAACAAATTCTCGAATGATTCTGGACTCCTCCATCCATAGCCTCAATGATAGAGTTGAAATACCCATATTCCCCTTCACAAAACGCATATGAATGCTCGGTTTATCACTTGAGCAAGTGAAAAATTGTTGACTACCTCACTCCTTACCACCCAGCCCAAACCCCTCTCTGTTTTTAAGAATTCAAGTTTTATTTTTAATCTGGTGACTCAATTGATACTATGATAAAAAGAAATTGTTATAGAAATTATAATCCCATCTTACCCCAAAAGTAAACAAATTATCAGAATCATCATTCATCTAACCCTTTCATAAGTCATCGGTACTTTAATTCTCACATATTTACTTCAGTCAAATGCCCAATCTCCCAATATTATAATCCGCCCAGATCCCTAGGGAACATGACAATTAGTAACCGTGAAATGATGTATATCAATAACACCACGATTCCATCGGTCAATAACAGTAATATGATGTATCTAGGCTAGGAAAAAACTCCGGCATTAACCAACAGTAAATTGTCAAAAGAAGTTCATAAAGCAATGTTACCGCAAGGAAACAATGTACAAAACAATGGACACAAGAATACAATTCGTTCCAAATTTAATCTAGTTCAGTGATCTGATAAGAAAAAGTATAAATTAGTGCTCTTATTCATGTATTTGGCCCATGAACTTGCATAATATTTACTTTTTTTACATCCCGCATCCATGAACTTTACTTTCACACGTCCAGAGTTATTTTGAGGAGTAATCCATGTCTAGCAGATTGGATAAATGATACAGCCAACTTCACAAATCCAATCTTCTTTTACCAAAATATTTAAAAAGTAATAAATAGAATCCACGTAACAGGATCATCCATTTCAATCTTGAAAAAGGTAGTATACCATCTCAGTAGACATCAATTTTAGGATAAAAAAGATTCACATTATATGGAAACTTAACCAAAAGGAAATGAACATAAAATAAAATGGGCATTGCACTTGCCTGCTCCATTGAATCCTGGTGTTCCACGAGCAATCGCATTCACATTGACATCATCACTAACTGGTTTGTCTTGCAAATAAAGCTCTAAGATCTCTTGACGACCCCGCACATCTGGATTGGGAACCACAATCTAGAAAAAAGTTGTTTTGATGTTAACAGCATGATGATAAACTATATTTATAGAAGAAAAATACAATAAAATATTCCTCAAATTCATCACTTAGAATGTTTTTTTCCAAAAGGAGGATAAAAAGTCGTTCAACAAAATTCAAACTTAGACCTCCTTTGTTTGCCCTTATTGGAGATCTGAATGGTTCAAACCTTAGGTCATTTAGTGCATTTTGTTTACGTTAAGAGTTAAGCACTTATTTGATCTGAATAGGTCTTAATCATTAAGATCTTGAACATAGTCTTAATATCATCAAGAGGTATTTTTGTGTGGATATCTGGAAGACCGGAAGTAGGAAAGCAGCCGAACAGGATGGATAAGTTCCAAAAGACTTACATGCCTATCAAATCTACCGGGTCTTGTCAAGGCAGGATCAAGAATATCAGGCAAGTTTGTCGCAGCCATCAATATTATGCCCTGAAAAATGAGTCAAAAGTACACTTCAGTTTCAAATTCAGGAGAGATATTCATAATTCAGATACTTTAACTTCAAGACGTTTACCTCATTTTGCTCAAAACCATCCATCTCAACAAGTAATTGATGCAGTGTTTTCTTAGTATGCCCTTCCCACTGCTTTCGAGTTGATCCAACAGCATCAATTTCATCAATAAATATGATGCATGGAGCCTAAAAGGGAGTCAGACACATGAAAATTAGAAAGCAGTTCCAGGAAACTGATTGAGCTTCTTGAGAAAGGGAAACAGACATCAAATCCTTTCCTGCTCCAAGTACAATGACAATGAGAGGACAAAGCAAAGTATCTCACATGATAGATATAGTAACATGAAGCAGAAAGAGGACTTCCAACTTCCCATTAGGTTTTCACAGTTATTTAACTAGGAGTTCTTTTTATTTTGCATTTCAGACGGAAATAGCAAGTTTAACAACAACAAAATTCAAGGCAGATACTAGGGCATCATTCCCCTTAAGCTTTGTTAATTCAAGCAAACAAGAAAGTTACATTCCTAGTACAGCAAAGTCTTAATATCAAAAAATGGAATACTAGCAACTGTTTTGTTTGGAGTTACCCAAAACCTCCTCTTTCATTAGCTGAATTCATTGTTCACTCCAAACTCTTGATTTAAGAAGGGTGAAAACTCCTTTTTCCCATTGATGAAGGCACATTCTATATGGACAGCCCAAATTGGAAGTATGTCAAATGATGACAGACAGGCAAGTATTAAATTGCCTGCAGCTTCATAAATCATAGAGGAGACATTCATAACCAATTATGGGTGATCTCACAGTTCTTGTACTATGTAACTCGAACAAAAGTTTATTTCAGAGTGTTAAGGAATGAATGCAGTCTCATTCATTGTAATATACATAAAAAGCATAATTATAGGAATTGATAACAGATCTATAGGATTTTCCTTTTAAATTATTTCCATAGTTAGGATTCTATGTATATGTGTATATGCTTGCTACTACATGGAATAACATATCAATTTTTCTCCCGTATCTTCTGCTACGCATAGATTAATAGGCATGCACACTTTATGAAACATGCAAGATAAGTTCTATGCACACAGAGAACATATTGCTTCACAATGGAACCACTTGAGCAAAAGTGAGCTTTTCAAACATAACTGAGCACTGACTGAAAATTTTCAGTCCAGTGTTTACCTAGAACACTGTACATTTCACATGATTTTGCTCTGATCTGTAAAAGCAATTTTTTTTCTTTATAAACCACAATAAGTAAGTGATGTATGTATAATCTATCAAACCTTCTTCTTAGCAGCTTGAAACAAAGATCTCACACGCCGAGCACCAACTCCTACAAACCTAAAAGAATGTAAAATTACCCAGTCAAGTTAATTAGGTTGTTAGGTAACCAGCTGTAAGATCTTGAAAAGTGAGAATAGTTGGCCAACAATAAAAAAGAAACAAAATAATAAAGTGCACAATATCAGACAGTGTGTTCTAAGAAGGACAGAAGGATGGACTTCCATAGTAAAATCATGCTGCAAGTGACTATCCAACCAGTCATCAACTTCTTTGGTCGTGAAAGAACATATGGTAAGTTAAAAGACTTCAACAACTTGGCTGGTAGCACCTGAAGCATGCTTGACACAGCACGCTGTACCCGATGCCCTCATGCGAAAAGAATATTACAGATTCTAATCACCTATTTCTGCTTTGCAACTTCACAAGTCGACTCTGGTACAGTTCTCCCCTTTTTGTAAGTAAAGTGAGCTGTGCTAAAGTCAACCATGGAGCAGCTAGAATGCTGGATCAGGAGCAGACTTGACAAGGAATCTTTTTATCTTCAAATACTTGACAAGGAAACTAAAGCTGCCTATAGCACCATTCCCACATGAATTTAGTTGGACACTTCGAGGGAAAGGATTCCCAAATTTTTAGGGAAAAGATGCAGTATCTTTAGCACACTCTAGATCGTCTTCTGGGGTAAAATGGTAACATGCATGAAGTGGACTTAATCATAAGTATGTATGTTTGGACAGAGTTTTTGCTAACTGTGATTATGTGTGTACACTTTGTACCATCTTAGAGCTGGAATAGATCAACAAAATCCTACTCGTCAGGTGTCCAGGAAAAAAGATCTGCCCTACTATAGCTATTGGCCTACCTTATCCAAATTTAGACATATTTTCATGCATAGGCTTGCACACAATTACCAATCCTCTCTTCACAGTTAAAAGTTAATATGACAAACTGTGATATCAATGACAGATATCATTCAATTCCCTAGATGCTGGAAGCAAAATACTGCAGATGTGTACATATAATGAACAAAAACTGACTAAGGTAATTTTCTAAGCACCAAGCAACTTGCTACCCCTGAGAAGAAACTGAGCTTCTTCTAGAAAGTAAGAGGAGCTCACAAATCATAAGTTTCTCTCACATATTGGATACAAACATGACCAAGTTATGAGGTAGAGAAAGTAGTAAACATACATTTCTTCAAATTCAGAGCCTGCCTTATAAAAGAAAGGTACCCCTGCTTCTCCAGCGATAGCCTTCAAATCAAGATAATTAAGCAGGATTAGCATAAGTACATGCTTATGTTTACATAATTAGAATGCAGAATTAGAAAGCAAAGGTCACATTATGAATGAAGGGAGAATGCAGAACAAAGAACTTGGCCCAAAGAAGAGAACAAGGTATAGAAGAGAAATCTTTAACTAATTAAAAAAGGACCAATGCTGACACTTACGAATTTATTCAAGAGCAGAAGAAATAACTATGTTTTTGTAATTACAAGGAATAAAAATCTTAAATGATTTTTCTGTATCAGAAAGAGAAAAGGATTAGTAAATTTTACATCACCAAATAGGAAAAGGAAAGAGAGAAGAAACTGCTCAACCAGAAGACTCACAATTCACAACTAACAAGAAGAAATTGCATCTGAATTTGATTATAGTTGGAAGTACGCAATGCATCTGAAGATATAACAAAGAACACTGCTAGCCGACACATGGAACATCCAATGTGGACAACTACTTCAGCATAAAATGTAATCAACAGCTTACCTTGGCAAGGAGAGTTTTTCCTGTTCCAGGTGCTCCAGTCAAAAGAATTCCCTAAAAACAAGACAATTATTCCATCAGGAAAAGCATAGGGGGAGTTTTACATAAAAGGAAGCACACTACCAATAACAAGCCAGGATAAACGGGCATAATAGCGCAAACCTTTGGCAACTTTCCTCCAAGCCGAGTGAACTTAGAAGGATTTTTTAGGTACTCAACAACCTCCTCAAGCTCTTGCTTAGCATCATCACAACCTTTGACATCCTTAAACGTTTTGACATTCTGCATCCAAAAGAAAAATAGATAAACAAAAACAACTGCAAGATCCAAATCCCCGAACAAGAGAAGTCATACTTTTCCCAATCTCTATTGGACAATCAATGGAAGAAAAATGCAAACTCTAGTATTGACTAGCACTATAGAGTAAGTGTGGAGGTTCAAGTCCATCCAACATCTTTCTCAAGCACCAACACATTAATCTAAAGCTGAACTAAGTAAATAACCCAACAAGGACTATTAGTATTTGTCTATTGAAAACATTCCAATCAATGAGCCTCGAGAGCATCATTTCTACAGGGTTGGGTCTTAATACCCAAAGAGAGAATGTTTTACAAACTTTAGAAGTTGTTAATAGTTTGAGTGAGCTAATACTCAAAGAGTTACTCCTGAAACAGCTGGAAGATTAAGAGAACCAAACAACCAAGACCAATGACGCATGAACATTTATGTTAATACACTATATAATTGATATGGAAGAAAGTTACATAAGGCGTAGCCTGGGATAAAAGAGATACTTGAAGCTGTTCCTACTTCCCCTTTCCAAGTTAGTCTTTATTGATCACTGGTGGATGTCCGATAATGCAAGAACATAGAAAATAAAAAATGAGACGCCTAAATCCTCCAAATCCTAGGGACACGGACTCCTTTTTCTAATACCAAAACGAGGAACACAAACAAACTAGATATTTCATACTATGACAAGAATTAAAAAGTAAAATAGAATAAAATTAGCTTCCAAACCCTTTAATCACATAGCACATCATAAGATTGGTGCAGAAGACAACCTACATGTAATATCTCCAGAAAGAAAACAAACCTTCTCAGGCATTATTTCTTTATTCAATTCTTTCGGGGCATAGGATGAGCTTGAACCAACACCTGAAGCTCCTATCCCACCTAAGCCACCAATATATTTCTGAAGTGCAGTAGCACCCATTATCCTGAAAAAAAGATTATACTCTTTTCTTAGTAAAAATATAGAAGAATAAGACTAAATAACTGCCAACGAAAGACAAAAGAAGTTACCTAAAACAAGGAAAGAGAGTGAAAACTAAGATAACAATAGAGACAAATCAGTTAATATGCTAACTAGCACAGTAGCAATCACATAAAATAATCAGTGCACAACCCCCCTGCCACAAACAAACTCCCAGAAAATCTGGAGAAAAGGGCAGGACTATATATCTAGAGAAATTACTGGGCCTCATTTCTGTGAATGCAGAATAGTAAATTCAAGAAGATAAGCTTACCAGACCAAGCCAATGGCAATAGTGAATATGATAGTTGAGAGAAACTCTTGCGCAAAACGTGATGATCTGTTTGAAACTTTAGGATCAACCTACATGTGAAAATAAAGAGTTCTGGGTAAACAACATGCACGCACAAAAGCATGACCCAACAAATGAACAAAGTAATTATGAGCAGAGTCAATGGAAGCACCAATAGCCATGGTTTCATATTTAACTGTTAGTAACACTAGTTTTAGGTATGATGCTTAAGATGAACATTAGACTCCTTGTCTTAACAGAAACTGCAGTGCTGAGAGTATCTTACCATCACAACATGTAATGGCTGCTTCTCGGAAATGCCAGGATTTAAAAAGGGTTCATCCATGTTCCCTGATGCCCGTTGCTTCAACTCTTGCAACTATAATTTTATTCCATTAATCATCAAAAAAGAACACCAAATCAAGAGACAAGTGCAGTACAAATTACAGGAGTAAGTAGAATATCTAGAGTTCAGAATGATTTCTTTCACTCTAAAAAATAGAAGCACTTAGAATGAATTAGGACTGATTGGGATAATCAGGAACCCGAAACATTCATTATTTAGTGTCAAACATTAAAATGGTTTGTTATCGCATAGGTGGCATTGCCAATAGACACAAAAACCTGAAGGTATTATATGATCAACAATTACCAGTGAAGGAAGACTAGAAGGCTTTCCAGATTGCTCATCAGGTAGATATTCAGCAATAGCATTTGTAGCCACAAGAGCTCGCATATATTCTGCAACTCCTCTACTGTCTACAGCATGAGCTCTCTGCTCAAAGCGCCGAATGACAGACTCAGGGCTAAGGTTAAAAAGATAAAGAGAACAGTGAATACTCTCTAAAAATAAATTTGTGTAGCTAAGGTAACTTATAAACAAACCTAAAAAGGGGAACAAAAGTAACCCAAAGTGATCAGGTGAAAGACTCCAACACAATAATTCACAGGAACTGACAGGCTGCATAATTGTTTAGCTACATCACATATGATTCTCTTAGTTTGTAATTAAAATAGTGAGAGTCGCAACTAGGCAGATCAATCAAAAGCATCCATGAAACAATGACCACATTAAACAGCTTTGTATTTATCTTATTCACGATATAGGCAAAGATTGTAAAAATGTAGTATCCTAGTCATTTCACCTCCCCTAGAGAAAAGCACCTTAGAAATCAGTAGTGAACACACACCATTCCTCATAAAAAAAGATACTTTACTATTATCTACCTCCACTAGATTCTGTCACTGGTGCAGATGAACTAAGTAAGGCAGACCAAAGTTTACCTGTGCTTGTTGAGTTCAGCAAGCAAAGCACTCTGCATAGCAGCATCGTTCGGATTTGCATCAGCATCCGCTATCAATCTCTCCAGACGCTTCTCTTGCTGCCAAAACGGCCACCAGCTAAACCAATCCGACAGCAAAATATTCTCAAACCCTTTCTTCACCTTTGCAAATACCCCCATCAAAAAAACCAGTATAGGCAGTTTTTTCTTCAGTTCATCATTCTCCACCAAAACCTCAGATGATTCCACATGACCGGCTTCATTATCAGAAACACTACTCACTACTCCACCATTCGAGTCAATGGAAGAATTTTGAACGGAACCAATCTCAACAACAGATGGTTCATTGAATTCTAGGGGTTCAATCTCCGGAATAGAATTGTCATTATTAGATAAGGCAAATTCCGATGAGGAATCGACTTGTTCAGGATTCAATGTACAATGAAGCAGTAAATTGTGGCGGCAAAACCGAGTCTTGAAAGGAGTAGATGCAGTTGTAGATAAACGAAGACAGGATAAAGGGTTGGAGAAAGAAAGGGACCGAACATGTTTTGAGGAAGAAAAATGGAAAAGAGGAGGTAAAGGCTTGAAGAGAAGAGAAGCTTGAAGAGTGGTCATGGCTTTTCTTTCCTTAAGATTAGATGTTTTAGGGTTTAAAGAAGAGGAGATACTTTGGGTTGAACTCAATCCAAAGACTTGAAGAAGATTCTTTACTGCAAAAGAGAGGATTTTTATTATTTTTTTGGTTTCTTGCAGAGAATAACAACACAATTCTCTTCTCCCTTTTGTTCTCACTATGGGAATTAGAGAGATGAAGGGATTGGGTTATTTCTTGTTGGAATTATAGAGCAAACAAGAAAACCTTATCTCTACTCAAATTGGCGGTCTTCTTCTTGTGGCCTCTATAATTTCTCACTTATATTTTTTGAAAAATAGTATATACGTAGCTATTTTGAGATTTTCAGTATGGCAACTGGTCATTTTCATATCCCAACGGCACAGTTCATTACTTTTAGGTTCTCTTAAGTGGCCTATCCTTCAGGATTGAAATGAGATGCACCAATTGGAGAAGCCAAATTCTTTTTTCTTTTTCAGCATATCTTGAGAAGTTCAATTGCTGTGAAAGCTTTGGCATAATTTGGAGTTCGAAAACCATTAGAAAAATTGTTACTATACGTGTTTCTTTCGACAACATAAATCAAACAAGATTTCAAAAATATTCCAACCAAACAAACATAAGATATTGGCTCTTGTTTTACTCTTTGTTTTCAAAGTAACATGAGTTGGGGGAAGGAGAGTAGGCGAGCATATAAGTTACACACAAGACAAGCATGAAATGAAAGCCTTTGGCTCCATTATAATTCATAGTGATAATAGATAATCAAGAATAGTGTACAATGCACAGCCTAAAAGCAGGTATGAAACCATCCATTGACCCCAAAAAGGTAGGGGAAAAAAAGGTACAGCATAGAAAGACCGAAAAAAAAAACCAAAACATGCAAGTTAGGACCAAAAGACTTGTGACATTTTTGGTTAACACCTCTCTGCAACAATATTGAGGACCCTAATAGGCAAAACTTGTTTCACACTAGTGATACTGTGGATGATAAGGAGGCATTGAAGTAGAATGTGGCATGACGTTCTGTCCATGCATTGGCATCATCCCAGGACCCATTTGAGAAGGCATACTAGCAGCTGGCATGTAAGGGTGATTATGCATCTGCATAGGCATTGATGGAGCTGCAGTGACAGGGGCCGAGTTCCAGCCTGCAGAATGCTGAGGCGGAGCTGGCGTGTACTGGGAAGGGGCACCATATGGATGAACACCTGGACCTCCCATCTGAGGCGGCTGCTGCCCCATGATTGAAGGTTGAGAATTCATTGGAATATTTGGGATTGTGTAATCTCTGCCGCGATCATTATTAATCTGAAATCAGTAAAAATAACCATTCAATTAAGGCAGAGGCAGTGACTTGTTCCCTCACAGTGAAGGGGGAAAGAAAGCTTGAGGAAGCTTTTTGGGGGGGGGGGTATTAAGTAACGAACAAAAGAGAGATGGCAGACACTAAATTACAGAGTTCCCGTCACAAATTAATATCTCAAAGATAATAAAGCTCTCTACAAAGCTGCTTTTACCTTTATACTAAGATCTGTGTGTCGAGAGTAAGAGATATGAAGCATGCAATATCCACCTTGATATATGGAATGTCCTTCCAAAGCTTCCTTCGCAACAGCAGCTGTTCGCACATCTGTAGATTCAACAAAGCTATAGCTTAGTTCAACTCACAAGCATCTGAGTACAGAATAACCAATTCAAATCCACTACTTTGAAGTTTGTACAAGCTGACCAATTCACAAGAGGAAAACATTGCTCCCCAGGGTGGACGAGTTCAAAACATTTCTTTGACTAATGTACCAACTATCTTGTTTAACCAAGTCACTTGAGAGGAAACCAAAAAAGAAGAAAAGGACAGCAAGAAGTATATCTTTCTTTTCATAAAATTTGGTCACTTAAAATGCATCAAGAAGATTTTGAACCACAAAAGGGGACACAAAAAGAAAAGAGGATCAGAGAGCTAAGAGAACCCAAAAAACTGAACCGAGCTATTTACAGGGGTTTAGCTTGTTCCAGGTAAATGGAGTAAGAAACCTAGCTTTTATGGAGTGGTCTGGAGTTGAAATTCCATAAAATATTTGCACTTCCTCAGTCCAAAAAAAAAACAAAAAGAATACTTACAGGGTCATAATCCAGACAGCAAGTACATTTACCCAATAAAATATTCACTAGAAACAAATAACCCTGCTTGAATATAGAATGCCATATAGAAATCACAACATAATATAATGTCAAGAAGCTGAGAACAGTGCTTGGCCATTTGTCAAATGATTTTGAAACATTGGAGCAAGCAAGTAATGAGTAAGGGCAAGAACTAACACTTGGCAAATTATTGTCCGCACTTCATCTTACCTGGATATTGTATCAGAGCCTGAAGCCCTCCATTCTTATCAAACATAGCAATCTTTAGGACAGGACCAAAAGCTGAGAAAACCTGAGCATATATGAAGGAAAATGAGAACCAACAAAACAAGTCAGAAGATGGTTATGAAAGAAATCTTTTTTGCAACTGAAGAAGAGTGTTACCGTGTATAGGACATCCAAGGTTACTGCATACTGCATGTTCTCAATGGAAGCAAGAAGAACATTACTCTCAGGTTCCAGTTTCTTCCCATCCAGACCCAAACTGAACTGCAGCACAGATGGAAGAAACTTTAAAAAAAGGATAGACAGCATTCCATGACGAACTTGCCCCCCAGGAACATATCACAAACCATAGAAACATGAAAAATAAGTGCATTCCATGTAAAGACATGAATACTGTTGATTGTGTTAATAGCTTAGCTTTATTCCAGGAAATTTTATTACCTAGCACAATTATAGGAGAACATTACTTTTATCAAAATTAACTCTCTTTCCTAATTTATTTATAGGGCTCATTGTATAAATACCCCTTCTCCTGGGATGTAAATATATATCGAAACACAAAGAAGCCTTTTATTCCTTCTCAAATTCTACACATACACACCAATGACCAATCAATAAACTTATGCCTCAATCCTACATTAGATCGGGATACATGTTCACGGTGGTCCAATTAATACTTTGCTGTATGAAAGCGCAGTATCTTAAAGTAATCCAACAGAAATCCATAATGGCAGCAACAAGGGAACTGGAAGACAGGGATCTAACAATCCTAGCAAATCCTCTACGCGCAAGTGAGTCTGCACTTTAGAGCTTTGACTGATTCATTACCTGACCACTTGAATCTATGGCTGAGGAAGCAACAGGAAGAAGAGAATTGGTGTAGTCCCTAAATCAAAACCATAAACAAGATATAAGTCGGAAGAGTGGAAAGCAATAATTAACACAAACAAATTAAACCATATACAAGATGTAATTAAATACAGTGAAGATCGCGCAAAAGCATTCTGTATGACCAACTTTCAAACAACAACATATGAAGTATTGGGGTCTAGGGAGGGTGGGATGTATGGAGTCCTTACCCCTACCTTGGCAAGGCAGAGAGGTTGTTTCCATAAGACCCTCAGCTCGAGATAAGCATTTTCAAAACAGGTTTTGAAAAAACAGTCATCACTTATGAGTGTGTATGTTTGTATAGAAGATAGAGTATCTTTGTGGAAAATCATATTTTTTGTGTGTTCTCTACTTTTTGGTATGCCACTTTATAGGGGAGCTTTTCTTCCCATCATCAATAAGGTTATTTACTTTATCCGAAAATGTGCGTGTGTGAGATAGAGTGGTAGATGGAGATCATTTGTACCTGCTACGATGACTCTGAAACTTCACACTCAGATCTGTATGGGCAGAATATGTGATTTTAAGGGTACATGGTCCCAGTTCCGGAATCAAGTAGCTGATGCACGAGAAAAGAAAAAAATCAGTCAACTGCCCTGCATGAACAATAAGTAGTAGCTAGTAATACTTCATCAAAAAAAGTAGTAGCTAGTAACAAGTTCTCCAGTACACCAATTGAGTTTGGTATGAAAATTTAGAGATATTTTCACCCTTACAAAATCATAGAATTCCATTAATAGCTCTGACCATATGTAATTTAAACAGCTAGCCAACCACCTCAATTTTAGCCAACTAAATTACACAAAAAAAAAAACAATCATCATTTCTGACCAGCAATTTATACCAGGATCAGCCATTGTCTAACACAATAAGGAAATAAGCTCACCAGTCCTAGACTCCTAGTTATAAATATTTTCTGTAGCAGCATTTAGAAAGCAGAATTTGATAAGCTCATTAGGCACATAGCTAGAATGGACATGAGCACAAGAAGAAGGTGCCTGAAATGTCAATATACAATGTATATGGAGCAGCTAAGCTAAGGAACATGTGCACCAGTGAATTTAAAAAAAAAAAAAAATGGCCCTCAAAGATGTCCAGCCCCCATGTATGTGCACCACATCACCTTCTCTAAAATTATTATTTAGAGAAGTAAATTGATATATGAGGGAGAAAATGCCTATCGGGAAGTTGATATTTATAATTTAATTAAGGATGTACAATATTTTCACCCTCTACGAATCTTCCTTAGTATCATTACCCTATGAAATACAAATTTTAAAGTCAATAAATTTGTAGAATGTTAGATTTGGTTATAATAGTTTTAGTTAAAAAACAAAATAAATTAACTTGATTTTTATTTTAACAAACAATACTTCCAAGTTTGGCCTAGAAAACTAATCAAATACAGCTTGGTTATATTTGTGCTTGTTTCATTTGAGTGCAAGGGCTCATATCAAGTGTATTTATAGAAGGTTCATTGTGAAGAAAACTCATGTTGAAAGGATCAAAAGAATAAAACAAAGATGTACAATAGGGTTAATAATAAAGCTACCAGCTGCTTTCAGAGAAAGAGGCAACTATATCAGAAACCCTTTATTATGCATCTTCATCTACTAATCCCACTCAAAAATGAGAAATTCTTCACTCTATCCTCTCTCTTTTTAATCATAGCCCTCAACAGTAACATTATCTAATTGTGCTACTGCCACTTCAATGTAATATGAGGCATCTTCACCCAGAGCACTAGTTCTAGATCACATTGTTCCTTATAGTCAAATAACAATGGTAACAACACATCTCGAGAGTAATTTAACAATACAAAATGGTGTGAGCATTAAAAAGGACAATTGCTATAATAAGGGCCGTTTGGTAGGACGTATTAGAGAATCCAATACATGTACTAGACATGGTATTATTTACTCCATTGTTTGGTAGGATTTTCAGCCCATGTATAACAAATACATGTATTAGTTATACACCCTATTCAGTATTATAGGGTGTATAACTAATACATAGAAAACTATGATAGTAGTAATACAAGGGCTATTAATATTTTGGTAAGCATGGTTAAAGACATAGCCAACTAAAATATAAATCCAAAATCACCTGGGAATGCTTCTTCCATCCAGGGCATCCTTTGCTGAAGTAGCGGTTTCTGCATCAGAAAATTGCACCAGAGCCTGAAGAGGGATCAAAGAGGCGAGGGACTAGTCAGCTAATTAGGAGGTCAACAAGCCTATTGACACTGATCAAATTTGCTTCTTCTGAAGCATAAATACCTGGAATCCTGCAGTCTTCTCAAATGTTGTTATCTTATGCACGAATCCAAAAGCTGAAAATACCTGGAAGAATAGGATTATTTCAGAAATGAATCTATTCAATGTTAAAAATATAAATTTGGAGAAATAATATACACTAAAAAGAAATCCAGCATGCTCTTCTCAAGTAAGTGTCTAATACATCAGAAACAAATAGCACAAACAACATTTCTACTTTAAATGATTATTAATTATACTCTCTACTGCCAAAGAAAAAATCTATTCAAGGAGTATTCTCCATCAGTTGACCTAAAGAAGTTCCAAAATGTGAAGGATATACACAGGATGAAGTTGAAAAGAAGAACATCTCTCCTGTCATTTACAGCACATGATACAAACAAAACTTACTGAACATGAATATGTGATGCAAACAAAACTATCTGAACATGAGAAAATTCTCTGAAGTTAGAAAATTATCTGACAGTTCTCTGAAGAGTCCACAAATTTAGGTCAGGCACTCATACAATCAGAAAATTCCACAAGAAGCATTGATACAAGTCTTGAACCCTTGTTCTAGTGGAAGAATGTAAAACATTTAAGCTACGACCAAGCTCACGCAAGAGTAGTATTCCACACGAAACAAAATTAACTTTTAGAGAAAGTTAACTTCCAAGTCTGTTAACAAAGCCTAAAATTCAACTTCATTACAAGGGTAACCTTATCAAACAAATCTCATCATCAGAGAAGGTCTAAGCAGCCATAAATCACCTCAAGTTTGTAAGATCTTGGCCCCTAACCAGGCAAGCTCCATTCCACAAAGCTGTATTTTAGAAAACCAAACTTTCACACTAATAACATCCTAATAACTCTAAAACAAGAGGAAGGAGATTATTTCTTAAGCCATTGAAGTAAAAAGTACAGAAATTTTAAGACAAGCAAGTCTCGGAGATGGGAAGCTTAGATAACCAAATGTCTGACTCATAAATGATTATCTGACTTTGTGTTTGACCTTGGACCCTAAACTTTCGAATTATTTTAACCAAAAGACATTATTACTATAAGCAAAGGAAATTATGCATCCACTGCAAGTTGCCGGATGCATATGCAACAAGTTTGCATTGGAAAACAAAAAATTGCATCTCCATTATGCACATGCTAAGGAAGGATGAAGATTTTAGAGGAATAAGAAACATCTGACACTCCAAGAAAGTCAGGAAAGTTAGATGAGGAGAAGGGAAGAAAGAGCTAGAGTTAAGAAAAAGAGAAAGGAGACAAACACGCATGCGCTCTTTCTCCCGATGCAATAAGCTGCCATTGAAGATATATCCTGGACATTGGCCTGCTGATCCATTCAATTTCATGTTAAAGAGTGCTCAAGAAAGCATGAAATACTCCAACCTAATTACCAAAACTACAGGAAACCTTTCCACGAAGAAGATTTCCTCTCCACCAAAGCAAATGGGAAGTATTTTAATCCTTACCAAGTGTAAAACATCAATGCTGACAAGGCGAGCATCATTTCCCTCAATTGTAACCAACAACACATTTCCAGCTACGTCTGCTGTAGTTTTGTTATTCACTATCTCTTGCCTGTTGGAATATTGTAGGTAGACGGTTTTCCCCCGTACCTGAGCTGGTTCTGAGGAAGAGGCATAGTACGATATCATTGCAATGGCTTGATTTAATTCTGCCTACACATATTAACAATTCAGACGTAAGAACTCAAGTTTTGAAGGATGTAAAGATTCAAAAGAAAAACAGATATACTATGAAAGAGAAAGGTGAATTCAGCAACTTACAAACTCTATAAATGCTTGATTTCGGTTTGCTCCTACATTACACTTGGTATTCACAACTCTACCAAAAGGTTTTCCCAATTCGATCAGCTCCTCCTCTGTGCACTCCCATGGTAAGTTTCTCAAATGAAGGACCTTTGATGGAGGCTGTGTGTATCGAAACTGAGGCTGGCTAGATGCAGATGCCATCCGAACTACAAACCCAAGCTTTAAAAAGAACAACAGATATTAAAATGTCATTTGACCCAACATTTAACACTCCTCGAGGTCTCTAAGCTAAGAGAAGAATGGATTATAAGCAGTATATAGACTACATGTGCTAAAGGATCACAGTGCAACACCCAAAAGCGCATTGGACTCAAAATGTAAACTAGTGAATCTAATAAGCATGCTTCTAAATAGAAAGCAATTGTGCAACATATGGAACATAAGTTTTTAGAAAGATGGAATATAATTCAGAGTAAGTGCAACCATGTGTGATTCTTCTTCTTTTTTATGACAAAGAAATCAGAGTGAAGCCAACCCTTGGGGGTCAACTGCAACCTTCAAAACTCTTTTTGAAACTGATGACCTTGGTCCTCTGTCCTTCTCCACTTAAAAACGTGACTTATTTCACTTGGTGCAAGCAACCATTGCCATATATTATCTTCCTTCGTACTTGGAATGTCCCTTGTACTAAGCTTTCTCATGGAGATATATCAAGCAACTATAACCCACTCAACCAGTTACTATTTCCTTATCCCACACCAAGGTTAACCGCGAGACACCGATAAAGAAAGAAAATATTAGATGGAACACTAGATGGCATTTAATCTATTTAAAGTGAAAATCTCTATTAGAGCATGACAAGTGGTCTTGCTAAACTAAAATTCAAGTCTTCAAACTCATAATGCAATAATACTAGTGAATCATCAGTATATTAGTGTCACTGCTCCCCTTCCCCGCACCACCAAAAATAAATACTACTTAAGTGAAGACCCACAAGCATCCAAGTCCCACCAGCAGAAAAACAACTAACTTATCCACAGACGTTTGGTAACATATACAAATGTCCTGTATTCCTGAGAATCACTGTGATTCACTCACCTAAAGAGACATCAAAATTTATGGTCAACAAAGGCAGACCCTCGGTCGGACAGCTATTAAGGTAACTGTGAGCTGGACTAGCAGAATAACCGGTAGACGATTAAATAAGGGAAAAAACACATAGTATCGTACAGTCCCTCAACTCAAACTCATCGAATATATAAACCAAAAAAGGAGAAGAAAAATAAAAAAACGAGCTACTCCTATTTCTCCAAGGGCCGAAAACTGTATAATAGAACTTGCAGGATTCAGAGCAAGAATTAAAAGCACTGTCGCCGTCTAAAATGTTTTGAAAAGCCATTGTTAAATTGCACTCAACGAATAATAGGGATTAGGGCACTAAAAAAAACATATGATATAGAATTAGAATGTAACAAGATTGAATTAGAATGAAGAAATCATAGGTTTAAATCAGATCGAACCTAGGTTAAGCGGATGTTCTCAGAAATTAGGGTTTCACCGACGGAACCACCACACAACGACGCCGAGTAGGTGTATATATAGGTGAAACAAGATGAGATGAAAAGCCGACGAGTTTGATGAATTGATGGTTTCTCTTTATATAAGGTTAACGATTTACTCCATTAATGATGTTTAAAGACTGAATAACATATAGAGTAAATTTTATTTTATTTTTAAAAAAAATAATAAAAAATTTACCTCTCAATTCACATTAAACATTAATTAATCTGAAATGAGTAAAGTATATAAGGGGTATTTATGATTGTAGCAAGAAAATAAAAAAATAATTACGAAGCCATTAGGGCTTGAATACATAACCTTTAGGAACTATTGCAATCCGTTAACAACTAGACTAAACCTTTCACTTGTGTCAAGAGGTATCAATACTTATGTATATCTATTTTTTTTAATCAAAATTTGACCTCTATACAATTCAATTTTTCAGTGAAAGGGTGTCGCTCGGCCAAGGGTGGGTCAGCCCTTGTATGAGACTGGAGTGCTTGCTTTTGATTAAATGGTCATGTGATGGTCCATACGGATAGTATCATATTTCTTGCAACAGACTTGGGCAAGCTATATATCCCTTTAACAACACTAGCTTCTAAATGGTGTCATGTGATGTTCTATACGGATATTATCATGTTGCTTGCAATAGGCTTGGGCAAGCTATATATATATCGCTATAAAAAAAAACTAAATTTGAATATTTTAGATCTTGCTATACAAGATTTATCAAAAAGGTAAACCTTTTAATAGTTTGATTATCTCTTATTTTGTATTCATACATTAGTCATGGAAGGCATATATATGATGTGCTTTCAAAATCCAGATAATGTAACTCACTAATAATTAAATTACAATTTTGAATGCTCATAAAAATTGTTATGCAATAAATATGTTAGGTTAATTGTCGCGTGACAAAAAAAATTAATATATGTTGATTAGATTATTTCCGCATAAGATTTTGAGACTAAAAAAATACTTAATATTAAATAATTACTTAATTATATGTTGGTTAAGTTCGATTCTCGCTGGAAAAAAGATACAAAGATTTCTTATTTAGAAGAATAAAAATCATCTTTACTTAATAGTTGAATAGGGGAATAATTTGAAGGGCAAATATCTTAGCTTGAAAATTACTCTATTGTTAAATTTAAAGAAAAAGAAAATAATTTTGAATTATGAAGAAAATCTCAATTTAAATAATTTTCTAGTAACTTAAATAAAATTTAAAAGTAATATGTAATTATAAAAAAAAAAAACTTTCAAATTGCATGGACCAAAAGCAAAATAATAATAGTCTCTAGTTCTGAGTCATTTATATATTGTGATGTATTGTTTTCATTTTGAGCCAATCCCCACCTCAAAATATTGAGCTAAATGATGCCACTAAACCTCATAATATCCATGATACAAGAAGTATCCTAAGGTCACTAAAGTAAATTTATATGTATATATATATTATGTACTATTAAATTTAAAAATAACTTATTTTTAATTTATTTTAACGGAGGGTCATTATAATAATTGAGAAATGAAATAAATTTAAGTAATTGTAGACTGTAGTATCATTTTTTTCGGGGAAATTACGTGGTTAAGCAAACTTATACTACTTAATTACTCAGCATAGTTATAGTTTGCTATAATTACCACTCGCGACTAACATTAAACATTAATTACGTGGGCTGACTTCGAGTTTGTATAATTAGTCACGTTTGTATATGTATAATTCGTCAGAATATACAAATTCATATGTATAATATTCAATATCTAACCGATATACATATACAATTCACCTCTCTCCCACTCTTTGCCCTCTCTCGCTCGCCTCTCTCCTCTCTCTCCCAGTCTCGCTCGTCTCTCTCCTCCCTATAACATATAGCTACGAATTGTAATTATCAAACTATAGTTATTGAGAGTAATTAGGCTATTTTTGAGTGGCTATATGTGAAAGTTCATCTTTTTTATATGACTATCCATTTTATTTCCTCATTTATTTTCTGACAACTAAGATCAACCGATATTACTATTCCTATATTTTCCTTTCTTAGGGCCCGTTTGGCCATGCAATATGGTATCATGATACAGAATCATAATATGGTATCATGATATGGAATCATGAGATGAAATTGAAGTTTTGTTTGGACTTGCGATATGAAATTTTTGTGTTGTATATTTTCTCATAAACATCAAAATCTCATAAGTTGTAAAACTATTAAAATAGCCCTAATTGTTTATTCAATCTTATCAAATAAACAAAGATTTATAAAATCGTAGAATAAATTATTACAAAGTTATTTGTTCTCCACTTAAGTAATTGTTTCATCTAACTTTAATTTAATTAAAAAAAATTGAACATAAATTGAGTGTACTAGTCTTTAATATAATCCTCCCACATAATACGGACAATTTTCTCATGTTGAACTTGCATTTCTCGATCATGTGACCGAGAAGACGAACCAACATTGTTACTTTGAGCCATTTGTTGGTCAATATCATCCGCAACTATATTTTCATACTCATAGATCATAAATATTTCATCACTTTAACAATCGGTTGGTGTGAGTTAAAGTGACTATATGCTGGTGAGAATAATAAATTTTATGTCGGTGAGAATAATAAATTTTAAAAAGTAATGATGTGATTATAAATTTTATTTACATATGAAATGAATGGTTAGTAGATTTAAATGTGGGGTTGTTTTAACAAAATATAAACTCGTGGATCAATTTTTGTATTAAAAATATCTCAAATCATGATATGGAATTACCATATAATTCCATATCATGGTTTTTGGAGAATATGGAATCACATCTCATGATATGGAATCACATCTCATGATATGGAATCATGAGATGAAATCAGCGTAAAATCGCATGTCCAAACGCTGATTCCATCTCACGATACCATATCGTGATATGGTATCGCATGGCCAAACGCCTACTTAGTCTTCCATTTTTTCCTTTTTTTCCTTTTTACCCCTCCATAAAGTTCCTATCATTTTTGCTCCTTCGTGATTCAAACTCACAACCTTTGGTTTGAAAGTGACGGATGCTTATCATGCGAGCAATAATATTCAAAAGTCTCCCAAACCATCAAATCTTTTGCATTATACAAAATGTATTGTTATTACTTTGTTTATAAAAGATCAAAAAAAAATTTATCTCTTCAAAATTTCAGACATAACAACAAGTCATCATTATATTGAAGCAATACAACACTATTTCGATATTATTATATCAACTTATCAAATTCAGCAAAATACTATTTCGATATCGTTATATAAACTTATCAAATTATTGAGCAATGTTAAATTATTCTAACTTTATATCATATTTTTTCATTGAAGATTTGCATTGTTCACATTCTTACTTTATAAAGTTTATATATACCCGACCATTTGCAAACCTCACTTATAAAATTACATTAGATATATTATTGTTATTCAATTTATACATATCAATTAAAAAAAAAAGAATTCTTAAAAAATCGAGGAGTGATTTTGAAATAAAAATTGATTCACATATTTGTGTATCCAACAAAGAGTCAACAAGTATGAAATATACATACATTATAAAGGAAAAAACTCAAATACATCATCGAGCTGTTGAACTAAGTGCCTGTTTATCCCATTTTTATTTAACTGAATGAAAACACTTTCAATTTTACAAAATTATTTTTTACACATGTCCAATAATAATTGGACACGTCATTAATTAAATAATTATTTTTTAAAAAAGGCCAAAATTCTAAAACTGGAATTAAAAAACCTAAAAAGTAAGCAATTCGGTAGAAAATAATTCTAAAAATTTGTTGTTTCTGCTAGAGACTGTTGGGAGAATGAATTATAGGTGACAAAAAAGTGTTGAAATGTAAAAAGAGTGACTCTAGTTTTAATTATTAAGCGTAGGTGACAAATTTTGAATCAATTTTTAAAAATAATTAAATAAGTCTTCAAGTTTTTGTTTTTACACTTTCACCCAAATTTAAGTAAAACCCTAATTTTTAAAATAGGAAAACCCCAAATCAGTTTTTTTTGTTCTCTCCCAACATCCCGCTCTTTTCACATTTTTTTTGCTTTTAATCTTCATCACTAGCGCTTCTTCTTCTTTTTTTGGTGTTGCAGGTTATTGTAGATTTCTTATTTGAAGAATTTGAGAAGGGAAAATTTCAAATTTTAATTTAACATGTGATTTGAAAAAGTCTAAGCTTTAGAAATTACTTCTTAACTGATAATTTTCAATCATTTTAACAAGTTAATAGTATTGTTTGTGTGTATTATTCATTTAAAAATTTGATTTTTGTGTTATTGTTCTTGCCACTGATGTATCATAATTTTCAGCAACTGATATGACTATTTCAGTAATTTACAACAATTGTTGAATGTTGTTGTTGAATAAATTGCCGCAACTGCTATATCTATTTTAGCAACTGCTAAATAACTTACAACAATTGTGATATTTTAATATAATTTTTTTATGATCAATTTTTTAGTTCTAAGTTACAATATTTTCAGGTATCTTCAACATCATTAATGTGAGATAGAATAGTAGTACCAGTTGATTGTAATGGTGAATGGGTCGAGTCCAACAATCGTTATATTTGGCGTTGGAAGAGTAAAGAATTGGCCGCGACAATTGCGATGATTGTGCATCGAGATATTGCATATGATGATTTTGCGAATAAAATCATTGCTTGTTGTAAATTAAAGTGTGAGTTGGAAGATATTGTGATCACTTACCTGCATAGTTGTGGTGAAAAACAGAAGACGGCTCCTTTTAAGATAAATGATCAACTTAGTTTAAGTACTTATTTGGAAGATGAGCCTAGAGGTGTTTTAAGGATCTACATGGTTGAAAGATTGGTGGAGAATCATAATTTATGTGATGACCAACAAGTGTTGAACGATGAATGTGGTAGGATGAATATGAATATTCCGAATGAAGAGCGTGAAGGTTAACATATTCTTTCTCCTGAAGTTCGGAATAGATTGCCCATTATTGGTGAAATTGCTGATAGGCAAGTACTATAAACTCATAAATTTGCTTATTTCTAAAAGTTCATCCTCTTTGTACACTTAATTAATTTTTGCTTTACCTGATAATTAATTAACTTAATGCAGTCATGCTCAAGATGATGGAACAGGTTTTTGCAAAGATATGTCGTTTAAGAATAAACAAGAATTAGATATTGCATTGAAAATTGCTTGTGTCAAAAAAGATTTTAGATTGAAGAAGGTAATTAATTCGTGTTCAGTGTATTGTGTCAAATGTGAGCATCTTGAGTGCAAGTGGTGGCTAAGAGCGGTGAAAGTTGAAAATTCGGATAGATTTTATATTAAAAAGTATAAAAAGATGCATACATGTGGCTCGAAACATTTTACGAGTCATAATCCACATGCCACAGCAAAAGTCATTGGAGCATACTTCAAAGATAGATATCCTGAAGGTAAAAGTCCATCTACAAAAGATTTGAAAAACTCTATCCGTATTGAATTGGAATGCAATGTTAGTTATTGGAAAGTTTGGATAGGTAGCGAGATTGCAAAGTCTTTGGTAAGAGGGACACATGAACATGGATATGGAGTGATTGATGCGTATAGTCATATGCTTAGGACATCTAATCCGGGAAGTAAAACGGCGTTGAAGATTGATGAAAATGGCAGGTTCAAGTACTTTTTTGTAGCATATGGAGCTTGGATTCTTGGTTTCGCACAAATGAGAAAAGTCATAGCTGTTGATGGGACATATTCAAGAAGTAAATATGGTGGTGTGTTGTTGTCTGCTGTTGCACAGGATGCGGAGAATCATATTTTTTCGGTGGCATTTTGCATAGTAGACTCTGAATGTGATGCTTCCTACCGATACTTTTTCGAGCAATTGAGAAGTTTTGTACTTGATACTCCTGAATTGTGCATAATCTCTGATAAACATCAGAGTATTAGAAAAATGATTTCAATTGTATTTCCTTTAGCTCATTATGGTTGTTGCATGAGGCACTTCGGAGAAAATATTCGAAATAATTTTCACAATGCGAGTGTTGTCTACCACTTTTATAAGGCGGCAAAAGCATATAATATTGATGTGTTCAGTGATCATTTTAATCGGATAAGAGATTTGGTTCCACAGGCTGCCACACATCTTGAATGCGTTGGATTTCACCGATGGAGCAGGGCATTCTTTCCCGAAAATAGGTAAAATTTATTATAGTTATTATTGATAGTTGGCATAACTACTACAGTTTTTTATAGCTACTGCTGCAATTTTTTATAGTAATTGCTGCACTTATTTCAACACCTGCTGAGAAATATGCAACAAGTGTTATAAAAACTATACAACAGTTGTAAACACATACTTATAATATATTATTGGACACTTATATGTTACAGGTACAATATTATGACGACAAATATTGCTGAGTCGGTTAACTAAATGTTTCTTGATGAAAGAGAATATCCCATTACTGCTCTATTTGATGCAATAAACAGGCGATTTGCAGAAAAATTTCATGAGAGACGTATGAAATTCATTAATGCACCAACCATCTGTCGCGCCCCGTTTTTCGCAAAACGGGTTCTGGTGCACGACCTAACAACTCTTTTGGGCTTTGGGTGATGAAGAGTCGCCACCTAACGAATTAAGGCGCGTTAGGGCACCTGTCTAACCTAACTAAGTCTAGCTAAGGTCAACGAACCAGAGATCGGGTAAGGGTTCAAATTACCTCGAGGGGAAAGTGTTAGGCATCCCTCGAGGTCCACAAATGTGGGTCCCGACCGTGTCTCATGCAATATGTAGGGGTTACAAGTAGCAATTAAGGTCACTTCATTTTATTTATTTAATTAGCATGATGACTAGAATGATAAATAATATTAAACAATTAAAGCCATTATTTATTTAATTAATTAAACCTGCGAAAACTAAGTGATAACAATACTAAATAACTTACAAAATAAAATTTAAAAGAAATAGCGAGAAGATAGAAAGTACGCAAGTATATAAGCAAATATCATTTTTTATTTTAATTAAACTACCCCAAATAATCTAATTACAAACAAAATAAAGGGGACAAAAGGATGGGGAGACTCTAAAGGACTTTAGGATCAGCACTCGACTTTTCTTTATTTCGGTCGGTTTCTCGTAGGGACAGACAAAACCAAGGTTTGTCATTTAGACCGAGTCGATGTCATCATCTCCATAGGGCCTAGACTACCCCTACCCCACCACCGCATGCTTTCGTCTCTAAAAGGTGTCTAGCGTCCCCACGTAAGGTCCAAGAGGCGTTGGACTACTAATAAGGTGGTTTTAGACAAAATAACATTCTTAATAGGCCCACCTAGACACCAAGTCAAACAATTTGGACGAGCATTTAGCACGTAGGGTCTCATATTGGCCTCTAGATTTTAATTTAAACATGCTAGCAAACACATATAAAGTGAAAGGTTGCATACGAGTGTGTGAACATATAAGCGTACAACAAGTAACACAACACTATAACAGTTAATTTATGAAAGGGCAGATAATTATGACAAAGCAAAAATTGTTTATTTTTTATTAGTTGATTAGAGGTGGCAAAACAATTTATTCAATGTAGAAACTACAATATTTTGGGCAGAATTAATTAGGACAGCAAATTTAAAATAGCGGGTTATGCAGAAAACAAATTATTTATGCAATAGCAGATTAGACTATTTTAAAAGGTTGCAGAAATTATTACAAAAAGCCGATTTTAGTTACCAATTGATTTAAAAAAAAGACAGAAATATTAATATTGCAAGAGAGTGATTTAAACTCTATTTTTTAATGGTAGACAAATTTAATATTACAGTTAACATGCAGGAGTAGATATTGATTTATTTAAAAAAATTATTTATTTTAGATAGAGAATATTCATAGCAGACTAAAAACATACTGAAAATTTATTAGAAGCCTATGAATATGCTAATTAAATGATTAACATACTTAAAGTTGCTTAGTGATTAATTAAACATGCTGAAAAATTAGCGTTTTATTTTATTAGACAATCAATTAGTTGATACAACAATTAATTATTAATCCTAAGGCATGATTTCTAAATAGAAAATCACTTGAAACCTATATGCTTGATTTCTACACCCAAATAATATATAAGATTATGTAACTCATGTAGGCATGGTATCTAAGTGGGCATATGCTGAGAATATTATCAAAACCTATTATTCATAATTTCTATATAAGATATAACAATATTCAGAAGCCTATAGGCATGATTTCTAAATGTGAACATGCTGGAGTTATTTATTTACTGATTGCAACAGATATATCATTAAAGCTTAATTTATTAAGATCCTAACATTTGAATTACAATTCAAACTTTTAGTGACATGCTGACAATTTAATTAATAACCTATAAACAAGACTTTTAAATGATAGACACGCAAAGATATTTTATCGTTAACAAAGCAATAACTAATTACGCAGATTAATTTTAATTAGTTGTAATCCGACTGAAGTACCTAATTATCTTAAATGGCAAAAAATGAGCAATCATAATGCATAAATGATCAAATAATGAGCAGGAGATATCTATAACATGTTATTCAATTTTAGACATGCTAAGATTATAATAAGATTCAAGAAAAGAACCTAAGGCATGGCGTCTAATAATTTATCAGTCAATTTCCCACATTTTAACAATATTGGCATGCAAGGCGAGATTCTAAAAGTCAAGATCACAACAAATTATGGCGTATATTTACGCTAAATTGCTTGATTAAATAAAGTTGTAAATAAAGGTTAATTTTAAACCACTTATTTAAATTATTCTAACATATTTGCACAATTCTGCGATTAACGATAGACAGGTTATAACAGTCACACATAAGCAAAAATAAATAAATAAACAGTTAGCACATATATCCCCATCCCTCTCGTAGACGATCCCCCCAAATTATTACATATATGGAGATAGAGTTACTACACAATATTACAAACCAAGGCAAAGAGCAAGTGAATAAAAAATATACAACATTAAAATAAACATAATAGCTTCATGTGAAATTCTCCTCTAGGCGATTCTTCATCATCTTGTTCAAATCCTGCTAGAAAGGATAATGTAACAGACATATATATAATGGCAAAAGAATCATATCATCATTTATTCATAGCAACAAATCACTTTCAGCAACACACGTAAGAAAATCAAAACAAATAAAAAATAATCATAGACATTATCACCCATAGGAGGAATGAAAACTGACCCGTGCTTCCTTGTAAACTAATTCGAACATACAACCATGCATAATGCAAAATAAAATTACGCTAGTGAGGAGAAACTAACCAATTAAGCAGAAAATAATATCAGCAATGAAGACCTCCTAATCCAACTTTCGACCCGTACCCAGCAAAGTAGCAAGAATAGAAATGCTTTGATGTTTACCGGAAAACTTGATTCGTTTCAAGAGTAGGGAGCAATGTATCTATGTAATATTCATATATGAGCAATGTGAGAATGTATGTCGAGGTGTGTGTTCAACCGTGAGTGAGTTAAGATGAGAGTGATTGTAAAAGTTAGAAATCTCCGGGTGTGAGAGTGTGAGGATTCAACCGTATCTCCCTCTGAATAATGAACTAAGAAGTCTCTTTATATAGTGAAGGGAAGGGCACATAATAGAGGAAAAGAAATAATTAAGGATCAATTAAAACATTTTCCTTGTTAAGAAGGAAGACATAACTTATTATTTTATTTTATTTTTTACCAAATATACGAGCAAGTAAGAAATTGCTAAGGCAAACAAATCAATTCACAATACTAAATCAAGCCTTTTTACCAAATAAATCTGAAGTAAGAATCTGCCTATTTTAACTAAGGCAATTACGGTCAATTTAACAACCAATATGCCACAATCAAGCAAGACAAATAATAATTGTTTAAGGGAAAGAGAATAATTACCTTTTCGGTCAATATCACCCACCCTGTATCAATGAGCTTACCATATAACCGGAGTAATTAGAGGTCTGTTCTAAAACTTAAGTAAGGGAGGAACATTACAGTCAAACATTAACATCCATATATTAATAAGTCAATACTAAAAACGATTACCATTATACTATCCAATCGAGCCTTTAGCAAGACAATCTACAAATCTTTATAAATGGAATAACCAAATTATCAGCATTAGAAACCACCAATATTAATCGATTTACCAAATGATCCAACTACCAACAAAATCATAGGAGATCAAATCTTTGTCAATTTTATCTTTTACGAGAAACTCTTATCAGTATTAGCATTTATTCTCAACGATCATAAGCATATCTCGGCGTATAACACAAATTTGAAGTTCTGGGCAGCATGATAAACCAATCTAAAATCACATAACGACTAAAATGTACAACTATTCAAAAGATCAGAAAACTCACAATGAATTATAGAACAAAAATGAAATCCATCTAGAATACACATGTATGAGCATCATGGTTTCTCCATGTATAAATTTGACATATATAATAGAAAATTCTAAAAGAGGGACTAACCCGGACGGATTTGTTAAGATCCGTCTTCAACAGGCCAAGATTTTAAGATTTGGTCCGAGCAAATGCTGTCCAAGGTGTTCCATTTCGCCGGAGCAAACGTCGTTGTTGTCGCCTGCGTTGCCGGAGCTGCTCTTCGCGATGGCTTCGCCAGTCGCTGGCCGGAGCTGTTTGCTGCTGGAGTTGGTGTTGCTGGCCGGATCTGGAGCTGCTGCCAGACGTCTTCATCGGCTGCTGCTGGTCGGAGCTGCTGCCAGCTGTCTTCGTCGGCTACTGCTGTTGCTGGTCGGAGTGCTGCCAGCTGCTGAAGTTGCTGTCCAGCTGCCTCCTTCGCCTGAAAAGGAAGAGAAGAAGAGATAGGGGCAAGGGGAGATAAAGGAGAAAGTGTGAAGGGAGAGAGAGGGCGCCGGAGAGGGAGACGGGAGGTGGAGAGGCGATTGCCTCCGGTGGCTTTCGCCGGAAAATGGTGGGGAGAGAGGGTGGCGGCTGCCTGGAGAGAGAGGAAGAAGAGAGTGAATAAATGAATTAGGTTAAAGTTCCTTAGATGTAAAATAGGAAAATAGGAGGATCAAATCCGGACCATTGATTTAAATTTGAATAGACGCCTGTGATTTAATCTTGGATGATATGATTTAGACGGACGGCTACGATTAAAGGAGGATATTTGAGATCTGAAAAATTGAGATAAG